ACGGAGTCTTCCCATGTAAGAGGCATTACCATACTCCAATTGCCCAGGCAAAAAACTCTGGACAGCCATAATCCTCTCACCATCAGCAAAAACTGTGGGCTCTCTTAAAAAAATAAATAAAATAAAATAAAATAAAATAAAAATTATTCAGAATCCTCTGGCATCCTTCCAACCTCCACTGGTACTACCCCAAGTCTCTTGGGCTATTGCAGTAGCTTCCTGAATGATACCCCTACTTCTATCGCTGCCCCCTTTATGATCCATTCTCCACACAATGTCTAAAGAGATTTTTCTAAAACATGTAGATTAGATAATGTCATCCCCTGCCTTCTCATCTTTCAAAAGCACCCCATTGCAATAAGAATGAAATCCAAGTTCAAGGTCTTCAAGATTGTCTTTAATCTAGCCCCTGCCTATCCTTCTGTATCATTCCCTTTGTGTGAGTTTCTCACTGCCAGAAATGTTCCTCACAGATCTTCAAAGCTCTTCAAAGAACTCTTTCTCAACTTTACAATCAAAATTCGCTTTTTCACTCTCTAAGCTGTTCTCTATCAAATACTTTACTTCATTTTCTCAACACTTATGATTTGAAATTATCTTTCATGCATTTTTATTTGCCCACTTATAGACTATTTGTCACGAAAATGTAAGCTCCTTATGAGCTGAAACTATGGCTATTTTGTTCACTTACATTAAGGCCTGGTAGATTAAATAAGCACTTAAATATTCGGGGTTCCTATCACAATAGTTCATCTGTGGGACATGCCAATCTGCAATGTTGGAAGCCATATGGAATTTTGGGGTTCAATTCCCAGGTTGACCTGTACACACTGAGTTCCTGTGATTCTGGTTGCCTGGAAAGGAAGGTTGAAGGGAGGATCGGGGTGTGAAACTCTTGTCAGATACTTGTTTTTCTCCCTCTCTCTCCAGAAATAAATAAACTTTAAAATAAATAAATGAAAATTCAATGAATAAATAACAGAATAGCAGCATATGCCCCATCTGAAAAGCTAGATGAATATACCAGTCCACCAAACCCAAGGGCCTGAAGCAGCATAATTTTTTTTCAGGTGTAGCCAACCCATTAAGGGAATGGATATCTTGAGAAATACCTCCTAATATAGTATCCTTACTTTACTGATATCACCACATTCTGAATCTAAAGTGGGCATTTATGACAGACTAGGTGTTTCCTGGCACTCAGAGACAAGCAGGAGATGTCTGAATGATAAAAAGAGATATAGAAGAAGCTACTTCCTCAGGAAGCTGTGGGGAGGCCCTAGGCCCTCAGGCAGAGCCTCAGCCACGAAAGACGTCGTCGTCAATAGAGTGACCCCCCAACCAGTGTGTACTGCAAAGAATGCAGCCCACCACAGGCTAGAACCTTTGGCCCTAAGAATGGCAAATGACATTCAAAAAAGCCAATTATGGAACACTAAACATGTATGACTTCCCTCAATTTCTGATTTCTAGTTTCATTTCACTCTTCTGGGAACCTGAGAAAGTCTTCTGCCTTTTATTTTGGCAAGTGGGAAAACTAGTGGCAACTATACAACCATGATCATTATCTACAGTTTGGGGCTAAGAGCTTGAGCTTTTAAGAATGTCTAGCCAATAAGAGATAACTAGACCCTTCCAGTTACAAACAACTTTGTCCAGGAGATTATATGAACTAAAATGCAGATGTGACACACTGCAAAGAAGTTACAAAACCCAACAGAGGTGAGGTTCAATTTAACTAAGTAATTATGTAGCTCTTACACTGGAGTAAAACCAAATCATTTAACTACTAAGCGTTGTATTGAAATGCAATTTATGCTGTTATTATTCATTAGCATGGAACAATGGGATAGGAAATTAAAATAGTTAATGCTAATAAGAAAGACCTGATATCTTAGCTCTTAATAAACTGTCTTACCATCTGAACTTTCATTAATTCGACATTTAATGAGACACAATCACTGTGTTAGGCACCAAGGAAAATAAATCCCTGTAATAAAATAAATCTCTCAAAGAATTCACAATTTAGCAGGATAGAAAAGGCAAATATACAGGAGCTATTAATAAGGTAATTTCAACTAAGCTTAGGGAATGAATAGATAGCCTTTGGATAAAGGTTCCAGGACTTGTTCCTGAAGAAAACATAGTGAGGTTGAAGGATGGGTAGAACTGTCAGTAAATACAACCATACAACAAGTAACCTAAGTAAAGGAGTACAGAGAGAACATGTATTCAAATAACAATGACATTATAGTCTGGACACAGGATGTGCTATGTCAGGGCTGAGAAGGATAACTATCTGTCCATGTAGACTTCAACTCAAGGATGGCACTTTTCTTCTCTCCACATATTACCTAAGACTCAACTCTCTATGTAATATGCTCTAAATCATCCTTATTAAATAAATAATAAAATTAATCTGAGAATTTAAAAATTAAATCTACTTATTGCCACTGCTCTGGATATTCTTGGTTTTTTTTCCCCTAATAATTTGGGTCACAGAAGAACTCTGCACATCTGTGGTGATAAGCAGTCATTATATCTCAATAACAATATAGAAGTATTTAAAGAAGGTTCACTTGGTCAAGAATGGCCAGGGTGGCATGTGTGTGTACGTCCATCAACAAATTCAGGAAGTCTGAGGAAAGTTGGTGGGTTCAATACCTTCTCTCCACAAGGAGGAGGAAAGAGGAGAGGAAAAAGTAAGAAGGACAAAGAGGAGAAGATCAATCTGTGAAATCAATTCTGTCAGTACTATTGAGATGCTGGGAAAGTCATAGTGCATTTTTGCATCAAAAAACACAGAAAAATACATCATGACTTTCCTGATCAAATGTAATCCCAAAATGAAGAGCTAATACTCTTATGATATAAAAATTCCAAGAAGCTATCAGAACCTAGAAATAAACTTGTTTTATATTTTAATTTTTAGGAATTTATCCAGTGAATGTGTTCACTGTCATTTCACTAACTTTCTGTGCAACTGCAAACAAGAAGCTTAGTTTTTCAGAGCCTTCCAACAGCAAGAGTGAAGAGAAGCTGACAAGCAGAGCCAGGTTTGTGAAGGCAGCTACATTCCTGATTTGCTCAGAAGTTCTTCCGCCCTCAAAGTACCCTACATATTCTCAAAGCCTCACTCCCTGCACTCAACATCTGGTGGACAGAGATGCTGCTAAAATGAAAATCTTCACAATTTTTTCAGCCTTTGGTTTAATATGTAAGGAACCTTTAGGTTCTAAAATGTTCTGATTCTATTTTATGATCTCATCTTTAGATTTAAGGACAAATTTAAGGACATTGAGAGGAAAGAGTCTTCTTAAGTGAATCTAACATGCAGATTCCAAAGGCCATTTTAAAAGCGTCAGTCATTAACATAACATAATTAGCACACAGAAGATTAGAATGCAGAAATCAAACATTTAAAGAACCCAGTGGATCCAGTGGTTACCAAATCCTTGGACATATATTTACATAGGTGTGTGTATATGTAGTGTTTATATATGATTTATAAGGAATTTATGATGACAATACGTGTGTGTATGCTTATACAAACACACATACATCTACACACCCACACACACATACACACAGGTCTAAGTATGACTATAAAGCTAGAAGGACAACTACTATAAGCCTTAATCAAAGATCTGAAGTCTACTATTTCACATGCAACAGCACACAAGTTAGTGTGAATTTGACTCTTGTATTTTCAAGGACACATGTCCAGTGAATATATTAATGGTTGATTCCCACATATCAATGTTTAGTTTTATATAGGCTAAAATATGGCCAGTATATTCTTCACAGAGCTCCCTAATGTTCTTCCATGGTGTAAATATCTGGTTCTCTTCAGTGTTTAGATATTTTATTTTCATAATTATATATTTTTAATGATTACTCATGCAAACCCATGTATATTCAGACTAAGATAATGAATACATACCCACAGAAAGTGAAACTTACTCTAAGTAAATACCCAAAAATACATTTACATAATATGGGCAGGAGAGAAGGTCAGAGAGGTCATTTAGTTGATAAATAATTATGTTTGGAGGCCATTAAGCTACTCAAGCCGAACTATTATAGACAAAATCTAAACATTAAAAAATGATTCATTGTGAGCATTTTTTGGATGTTTTTGTTTTGACTCATTTTTCCCCGTTCTAGTCTACCTCTACCAACAACTAGATGATATATAGAGTTCCTTTCAGCTCTCAGTATTTTTGATCTGCAAACTAAAGATCTATGTGATTAACACACTCTCTTGTCACAGTGACCTAAAAGCAATTAAACTAGACCTATTAATAAAATAATAGCCCAAGTAGGGTAGGGAAGGAAAAAAAAAAGTTGGGAAACTTAATGCACTAAATGTGATTAATCTGTGATGTAATGCTAATATTAATTGTTAAGAAGAAAGGTAAAAGCAGCTTACTAGAATGTATGAAGTAAAACACTGCATAAGGAACCAGAGCTAAATGTGGATCAGAAATTAGGATTCTGCCCACTGAGTCACTCACTGACCTTGTCTTATAGTTACCAATCAAGGCTTCTGTTAGCTCTGGGCAATTTTCAAGCAAACTTAACGACACAGTTATACATGTAAGAAATTGAAGCCCAAATCTGAGATGGTAACACTAATTTCCTAATAGTGAGGGTGTGATGTTACCCCCTGCACCACCTGGATACAATATAGAAACTTAAACATACATTCTCCCACCCAAAGAGCATAGGCATTACCATTCCACCAGTGTAAAGACTGACATTGCTGTAGAGGACAGCATTCACAGATATTTCCCCCAAAATTTTATCCCGCAGTTACTGAACACCAGATTTTTTTTTTTAATAATAGAGAAGAAATCAGTATTTTCAAGGCTTCATTTTTTTTAATAACAAGCCATTTCACAGCTCCAGGAGTTTTGGAGTGAACACATCTCATCTGTTAGCCCCTCACCCCCAGCCTGCCAGAGTCTGTGCAAGTGAAACCTATGAGTCTGTCTTACCTGTAATCTGACTCTGTCCTTGTGGATTAAAAGGACTTGGTGCAGAGTTCAGGGAGGGCCGTGGGTTCTGAGGCGGGACACCTACTCTCATACTGGGATGAGGAATGCGCCCTAAATCACTGAGGCGGTCAGAGAACAAACTAGGTTTAGAGTCATCAAGCTTCTGTCTGTGCCCTGGAAACAGCAAATCATAAAATAAAAGCATATTAATTAGCTGAACAATTGACCATGCTAAATAGATATGTGAACATACATACTGGGGGTTTAAGCCAAGGAATTATCAATACTGATATTTATGAGGTGTCTATATAATGCTTTCTGTTTGAAATTGCTTTATAAGCATCCTCTAGGAGTAAGGTAAGCTTTTCTAGCTCCATTCTGTAAGTGGAGAGCTGAGAATCCCAGGGCACCTAGCAGTCGAGTTTATGAAGAGGAAGGCCTCTCAGGGTGTCTCCTCTAGCCCTCAGTGAAAGGACGGGAAGGGTGAATGTGTTCTGTCCTGGGGTGTGTTTACATGTTTCAGGATGGAGGAAACCTCCTCTGAAAGGTCAGTATCTATACATGATAGACACACTGTCCCACAGCTGGGCAGAAATAGAGGCAAACATAATTGCTAAAAGACTTCCATGATGCCCTAGTGACTTTCCTTTTTATTAACATTACAACTATCCCCTTACTGAGACCCTTACTGAAAAATTGAAACTCAATCTTAGAATCCCTTACAGAGATAAACAGAAGAGTAGGCAAGGGTACTCAAGTTTTTAAGAGGAATTTGGATGTTTTATTATATGCAAAAGCATGAAAGTATATAATAAAAATATATTAAATCAGAAATAATCCTATCTTTATTTTAAATCTACTACTCTTTGAGTAAATGTGTAAATGTGACCATCCTTTTTTTGTTGTTGTCCTCTGGACATATTCATCAAAACTATTCAGTCCTAAATAGTATAAAATAGAAAATCTGTGATCTATTTATAATATGTATAACCTTCATGATTATAAATTTTATGGGAAATGCATGACAGTTATCATGATTTTTTTTTTGCACCAGTGAGAACAATAAAGTTGCTATTAACAGCAACAATGAAAAACTTTCTCTTTCCTAGTTTATTCATACTTAAAACCTGAGGAAATTCTGGGTATCTAAGAACTTTGCAAATTAAGATATACTCAAGATACTAAGACTTTTTAAAAATCATCAAATATTTTTCTTCCTTCCTTTCTTTCTTTCTTTCTTTTTTTAAAAAAATTTGTTACTGGTCACATGTGCTTGCCAGAATACAGAGAAATAGAAACAGGGCAAGTGAGAAAGCGCCCTCGGGGGGGAGGGGGGGAACCATGCTGCAATCGCTTCTCTTTCATTCTCCTCTCAAGATTTGGGGCACAGCGTATGTGTGCCTGGCATGTTTTTCAAGCTACTGGGTCTGGGACTCACACCACGAAGTTGGCCAGGTCAGATTCAGCTGTTTTTATCATCACTCTACTGGCTGGCCTGAAAAATTATCATATAGTTCTTAATAAAGGACTACAGTTACGTCTCAGTGCAAGTTTAATAGACAAACATCTGAATCCGGATGTAACATAGTTAAAAGTAAATTGACAAGAGTGGTGCCATCATCAACAAGTACAATACCTGATACAGAAAAAGATAGAAACTGTGGATTCCTTTCTCCATATTCTACACTGTGAGGCCTTTGTGCACCATCATTTTAATATAAATATTAAGTGACTGAAGCTGATTCAAACAAGAACCATTAAGATGATGACTGGATTAAGAATTTTCCCTTTGAAGGAAAACTAAGGGAATGGGGATTATTATTCATAAAAGGAAAAAAAAAACCTTTGAGGAGGATTATTAAAAACTGTCAAGATTAGGAGTTCTTCACTATTCTATAGGTAGTGCAATACCTCATCTTCTACTTAACACAGGACAAGAGAAATATATCATGACAGGGTTAAGTTGAATATTAGAATTTCCCAACTATAAGCTGTCTTCATAAGACAAATTCCTTATTTTATTTGCCCTAAAATGTATTTTCCTGTCTCCCTTTTCACTGCCTACCCAGCCCAAAGAAAACAGACAGAAAGCCAAGGCTTGGTAATATGAGTGTAGCTGTCTCCACGGCCAAACATGTTCCAACTAGGCCCATTAACTGAAATGCACCCACCACCCTATTTCTTGCCAGTGCAAGTTTTGGGCATCTGATATAATAAAGGGACCAGATCTAGGAGAAAAATGATAAAGAAAAACTAGGGAAATTCATTGTTAATGGTTGTTTACCTCACCATTTATAAGCTTTTATCCAGATTACAAATAGATTTTAGGACCCTAAAGGACCCTTAGAGATGATCCAAAACAGCTCCTAGACTCTGGCAAGAAGGTGTTCATAGTTGAGATGACTAAGGTCTGGAGAGATAGAAAGCTGGCTTGTGTTCCTCAATACTGAGTAGCTTGGCCCTAGAGTAGGATATAGTCCTAGTTCAGGTTGACTGAGCTTTCCATTCATCATGTGGCACCATAAATGTTGGCGTTCTGGCTTTCTCTTTCCTTCCTCTCCTGCTGCTATGTAGTTCTGAAAATATCCAGATCATACAGACTGAGACATCCAAGAACTACCTACACCCACTGAGGTGCCAAGGCCAGTTTTCAACACATGCAGAAGCAGCGGCAAGGATTCGATTACAAGGTTAATAATTCACCCATTATCCTAAACAAAGGGCTGTGGCCCAATTTACCAAACTTCCATCAATACATCTTGCTAGATCTAAATTATGGGATTATACAGTACTTGTCATAGTTCAGTCCATGGATTCTGCTACACACACGCACAAACACACACACCTACACATACATAAGAAGTACTGATGTGGAATTGATATAGCTATAACTACTAACAAGAAAGCTTACAGAATTGTCCTTGGGAGTAATTTTTTTAATAGGTCATATTTTGGGAATGGCAGGATTCCCCGAGGGCTAAGAGGAGGGCTACATGATCTTTCATAGTTCCTTTATACACTGGGACTTTATGTGGGTCATGGGTCACAAGAAAATTTAATAAGCTTTGCCTCTGCTTTCTATGGTTTTTTCATTAGGTCTTCGTGAAGACTTCGTGAGATGTGAGCTCAGTGTGTAGATGTGTGAGTATATTCTTTATTTTCCACTAGCTTAGTGCTTTAAAGAGTAATAGAAGGTTGTAGGCAAGAATAAAGGACTTGATCTAATATTGGTAAGTATGACAAATTTAAAAGCAGGTGAAATCTAAAAGCCTAAATGAGCTTTTGGAAATTATCTTCAAAAGGAGCTATTGAGAATCTACAGACACCCTAGAACATCTTTGGATGCATATACACAAAAGCATATACATTTTTCCTTGTAGCTATTTGCTCCTTCATAGCTACCACCACAACCACAAAATTCTTACAGTACAATGGAGATCAAAAGCCAAACAAACTCATCATCTTTCAACCATGACAAATACCTGCTACCGCTAGACCACATCAGGCTAACACTCCAATGATGGGCTGAAAGAAGACATGCTTACATCCTCAGCACTCAAGCAATCCGTTCAAAAATCAAGAACATGAGAGACAAGACATACTGACTTAAATCAAGAACAGGGCGCTCTGCCGTGGTCCAGGGAGGACTAAGCTTTATCCAAAGAACCAAAGAATAGATCTCTCAGGCAGGAAGAAGATAGAAAGAATGGAAAAGTCTGCTGCATTTGAGACTCTATAAAGATTCAGTCCTGATCCTCTGTTCTAGCTGCTTGTTCTCCCTAGAACAATGGTCCTTCTACCCTGGCTGAATAGGAAAATCCCCGAGGGAGCCTCTTTAGGAGGTGCTGTTCCCCTGAGGTGATGTCCAGGCCGCTTTGTCAGATCAATTAAATCAGAATTTATGGGACTGGGTCCTCAGAAAAAGCTATTTTTTTTAAAGCTCACCACACATTCCAAAGTCAAGTCAGGGTTAAGAAACGCTGTCCGAGATTACCTCAGCCCCAAGCATTAAATATCACCAATTCACACTCCCTTATTTCTGGGTTGAGCTCTGACCTTTGACCTGAGATCCAGGTTTGCATGTCCCACTGCCTGTTTGATATCTCCCCTGAGATGTCTCCAAGATCTCTTAAATGCATATATGCAAGACAGAAATCTTGATTCTCCCGTCCAAAAACACCCATATACCTCCTTAATAAATGTCACTAACCATTTGGTTGCTTAAACCAAAAACCTGAACATTTTCCTTGATTTCTCCTTATCCTTCACTGGTCACATTCAACCCATTACCATATTCTTCCATTTCTTTTGCAGAACTGTATCCTAAGTCTCTTCAGTTCTCACCATTTCTACTGGCACAATCCTAGCTGAAGACCCTTCATCTGTCTCTGGGCCTCTGACACTGCTTCTGCTTCAGTTTCCTAACCCAGGACTTTTCCATATGCCTGAAATGCTCTCCCCGATTCTTGTGTTTCATTCCTTATTCCTTAAACCTCAGGGTGAGCACCACCTCCTAAAGAGGCTTTGCCTGCCTCCCATAACCAAAGTAGGTTCCCATCCTCTCAAGCACACCCTCTCTTATTTCCTTTACAGTGGTTACCACAATCTATAATTATCTTGTGTATTTATTTGTGTCTCCTGCAAGACTGTTAAGTCCCATGAGAATGAGTGCTGTGTCTTGTTTACTGCTGTATTCTCATAACTTAGTTCAGGGCATGCCATACAGTAGGTGCTCAACAAATATTTATGCAGTTCATGAAGGAATGGTCTCCTCTTTTAGATAAATGCTTTGACTGAAAGAAAAACTGTCTGGCCTAGATGATCATATTACAAAACTATCTTTTCTCTAAAAACTCTTCTTTTGTGGCAATGTAGTGATTCCAGTGGACAAAACCTTTCCTTAGAGGCAAACCCTTTCCTTATCCATACTGCCTATGATATTTTGTTGAAGAACATTCACTTAAGTGAAAGACCGCTTTCTTTCTGAAAAGCCCCACTTTTTTCTCACTATAATCTTTTTAAATTTTTTAAAAAGCATTATTTATTTCATTTTATTTATTTATATGTTTTTAAGTTGGCTACAGAGAAGTGCACTCACCAGAGAGAGAGAAAGACAGAAAGTGAGAAAGCAAGCCACCAGGTCCAGCCAAACTGTGATTGACCATGTGATAGTC